ATGACCGGCTCGACTTCCAATTTATGGTGTCACCTACTCAGGATTACCTACTTTTTTACCCAATTAGCTGTCTAATTAGTGCATCACCCCCACAGGCTGATGCGTCACCTACCCCCGAGCAGCCTCTAACAATGATAAACACGTTAGAGCGGTAACCGTAGGCCGTTTTAGTAATGTATGTACCACCTACCCCCGAGCAGCCTCTAACAAAGATAAACATGTTAGAGCGGTAACCGTAGGGGACTCTTGGCTAACCACCTACCCCCGAGCAGCCTCTAACAATGATAAACACGCTAGAGCGGTAACCGTAGAGCTAGCCACCTACCCATTCAGCCCTCTGGAGTGCTAATTTTAGCTCTCCAAAGCGGTATCGTAGGATTTAAGTTATTTACACTTATATACAATAACATTGCATGCATGCTTATTTCTCATTCCAACAGAAACTCTGTACTTTTCCTAAATTTAGTCCTTAATGCTGGAGAGACCCCTTCAGTACCTTACCCTCAGATTCAGCCTGATCGAAACACACAGCTTTTTTATGCTAAAAGTAAGAACGTCGCTTACCATTATTTAACAGTGGCCACTGTATCTGTGTGATTCGTCAAAACCTCCTCCGATGGCAAAGCACTCAACAATCTCTTTCGAGCCCCATGTTGGGCGCCAATTATGATGTGGAAAATTGTCACTATACTTTATAAAAATCTAAGTTCTTCCAGAGTTTTTGTAGAATCAAGATTGACTTTATTTACAATTCAACAAAGCCAGGCTAGTCTGCAGAGTAGCCCCCTTCTCTCTGTCTGCCCCCCATCTACAGTATATAGTCCCATTCACACACATCCTAGCTTAAAATCTCTCCCTCTTCAGTTGCCCGCTCTCTATCGCTCCGCCCACTTCCTTTGTCTATAATGGTGGCTAAATTCGACTGTCATTCAGTTTAGAAACAATATTATTACAATCAATCACGCCCTTGTCATGCAAAAACACTCATGTTCAGTTTAAACTCTGTTCAACCCCGGCTCTCCCGGCCTTGACCTGAAGACTAATTGTTGGACATGACAGGTTCACACTTAATCTTTCAAACATACACAAACCCCACCCCATCATGCTGTAATCAATCAAGAATATAGCCAAAAAGAGACCAAGGTTTAGCCTGAACTCTGTTCAACCCTGGCGCCGCTCTTTCCACTTTGTTTGAGGAGGGAGGCAAAAGGCCACAGTCTGGTTTCAGTCTCTGATAAGGTAGGACAGCCATGGATTTAGCCCGGGTAGCCATGATTAGCTGTTTAGGAGTCTTATGGCTTGGGGGTAGAAGCTGTTGAGAAGTCTTTTGGACCTAGACTTGGCACTCTGGTACCGCTTGCCGTGCGGTAGCAGAGAGAACAGTCTATGACTAGGGTGGCTGGAGTCTTTGACAATTTTGAGGGCCTTCCCTCAAAAAAACACACACTCACTGTTTGTACTCATGTTATAGCCAAATCTTGAATTTTGTTTGAATTATTTTCTATAAAATATTTGTATCTAGTTGTCATGTATTCATATCTTTAACTGGTTAAATGTTTGTAGTTTGCATGTTTCAGTAATGATTAACTTGGTTAAATAGTTGTAAATCTCTGCTTGATTTAGCTTTTGATATATTTGGCATTTTTATACATATTCTGTATTTCCACTGAAGAAAGCAATAATTAATCAACACACTACTGTAAATAAATGGACACTACCTGTTATAAAATGGTGAGAAATGCTCAGTCTGAAGCCATCCGGCTACGGGTTTCACAGCCCTATAATAATGATACAAGTTATAGCACCTTAAAAAGGGTTTATTTACAACCTCTGGGGTATAACATGTTGGGTATAGGAGTGGTATAGGAGAGTCTGACATATAACTTGAGTTCAGTCTTCGCCAATGAGAACCAAGAGGGGCCTAGCTTCGTCCTTCATGACTGGGAAAGGCCTCGATTCTAGGTCGTAGAAAATCCTACATCCATTTCATTAGATCAGAACAGGATGGATCAACAGTGATTCATACTACTGGTTTGCATCCTAAAAAAAGATAGTTGTGTTTTGCTGCATAAGACACTTACATTATTTGTCTACCCATATGATGTGGATCATTGTCAGGTTATTTGATATGTAAGCTTCAGTAACAAAAGAACACCATGGTTGTAATAACACTTTAAACAGGTAGTTTGTAAATGTGTAGAATGTGTTTGTTTTGGGTCCACACTGGTAAGTTAACTTATGTAAATTAGACAGTCACAGGGGATTTTCTTCTGAATAACTGGTCAGAGCATAGCACTTTCCATTCAGCTCCAGGCAACTTTGATGTAAGGCTTGATCACACTTGTAATGATTACGTCTATCCATCACACCCATTGTTGCTTATCCATTGTTCACTAGATATAACAATGTACAACACAATGTTGAAAAACATAATGCTTCCCACCACTAGATCACATAACAAGACGTGAGCTGGACGTGATCCCAACGCTGCCACCAATGTAGCGGAAAAAAGTGAAAGCTGCAACAGGGACTCTAACCAGGACTCATAAGTGGCAAAGTGAACTCTAACGGCCGTTGCCATGAAAGCCTAATAGGCCTCTGGGCAGAGGCAATAGGCCTACAATGCTGGCAAATGCTTTGTTACAATAGCCTAAGTAAATAAGTGTCAGCCAACATAATTCATTATTTTACATTAACCTGTTTAACTGCATTGATATGGCTTAATTGATCATAGTCCAGACTCGTTATAGTTGCAAATACCATGCAGTTGCACCAATCAAATACCTTCATCGATACCACAACAAAAAAAACTGCAGAATACAGATTTTTACTCCAATCTGGCAACCCTCATAAAATCGGAGATAGCACCAGTATCCCAAAGTATTAAGCGAAAAACAAGCATAGAAAACATCATTGTCATTAATAAATTAATTTTTAAAACGTAAGGCTACTATTAAGTATTTTTGTGACAACCTGGTTGATTAACAATATTGTTTTTTTCATATAAATAAATGTGGGACACAAAAAAAAGCAGTGTAGAACACCATTGCCCAAAATGCATTGCTCCAATAACTTTCAAAAGATTGTTCCAAAGTTTTCCCCCAAAACATGTATTTTCCTATGAATGAAGTCGCACAAAAATGTGTGTATTTTCCTACGAATTAGGTTGCACAAAAATGTGTGTATTTTCACACAAATTAAGCCACACAAAAACGCATGAAATCTGATTAAATACTTGTTGTACATATTTCCACGAATTGAGTGTGATATTATGTTGCCTAGTGCTAGGTTTCCATCCAATTGAGACAGAATTTCATACAAATATTCAAAAATCTGCATAAAAACAATATGCACATTTTCCCATCAGAGTTGTGTTTTCATCAAATTGACTTGTTGCAGGTAAAAGTCTGTGTGTAAGTATGTAGCGCACATAAAAAAATAACTTTTGCTGAACAAATAAAAAATACTAGTTAAATGGGTTTCCATCCCATTTTCAACTCTGATGGTTTGGTCACAAAAAAATTTGCAAAGGTATAGCGAATGTTCCCATGTCCACTCTGGTATTGTCACTTGCGCTTTAGTCAACAGCTAGCTGATATAGTGCTGGTAAAGCCTACATGATGAGATTATTATGGACAAAAGTGCGAGATTATTTTCATTTGTCAAATGGCCGCCAAGCATCTATCATCATGTCACCAGAAAAAGACCCTAGATATTTATTGAAAGGACCATCAAGTTTATTACCGTGCACTTTCACCACCCTGTGAAGTTCATCATAACTTATTTCATCTGTAGCCTAATAAACTGCATGCATTCCCATAATGTTGTGACATTTTTTATCCAACATGGACTTTACTCACATAGAAGGGTTGGATGTAAACCTGGTTAAAGGAAAACTCCACCCCATTTATTTAATTAGTCAATTGTCGATATAGTCCCAAAATGTTTTGCATGTCAGCAATCAAAGTTTTCAAGATATATAACTTTCAAAACACAGAAATACAGCAAGCAGGGTGCTGGAATTATATTTTGGACAAATGTGTGCAAGCCTACAGGAGACTTTTGAAGTAACCTAATCAGATTAAAACATTGTGACTGGTTGTGTTTATGACATATATAAAAGGTAATACAATTTAGAAGTTCTAAATATTTAGGCTAAAGGCTATTGAAGCGTTAGGTTCTAGGTGCACAAGGAATAGCCGCCGATTGGAGAGGAGGCAGAGCATATGTGGCCACATTATTATAGGACGATTTGGGAGAATGATGATCTGCAACAGACAGCGCATTCAGTATCAGAAGTAAAAATACAGCCAGACTGGCCTGCTACTGTGCCTTTCTAGACCTTATAAACTGTTGAGCGTAGACCCACAAATGTTCCAAATGCAATGAAACATTCAAATCACAGGGCTTTTGCGCTGTTATTCAAATGACATTTTCACTGCAGCCTAGAGTAGAATGTTGTACTCACTTGAAAACGATAATGCAATTATTCATTGCATTGTGGTGTTGTAGGCTAGTCTAGGTAGGATAATTGTATTGTCCCTAAACAAGATCAATAGGGGAGGTTTTTGAGCTGCGTGTCTCATTTCTTCACTGTTCTTTCATGCGCAATGATGCACCTGGCCTCTCCGCTGCCTATCAGCTATTGCTATTTGTTCTTCTGGGTTCATATTAAAAACTGATGCCGCTTTGAATGATTTTATGTGTGGTATGATTGCTAGTTAGCCTATTGCAGATCTAGACAAACGATGCACCTACCAATATTGTTGTCACTATGAATGGTGGATAGAGGGCAACACACTAAAAATATTACATTTTTTGTTAACCAAATTCGACACTGTCATTGACCTTCATACAAAAACTCCTCGCTTGATGACAGAAAAAAACTAAAAAACGCCACCTGTTGGAGAAGACAGATTTTGGGCCCAGTTGTCACTCTCGCTTTGCCCCTATCTCTCTGACCAAGGCAAGGAAACATGGTAAAAGCATCGCGCCTCCCAGGTCCTTACAAAGCGGAGGTGAAAGTTCAGCAGTGCGCCTTGTAAAATGGCGGCTGAATTGACCAGAGAGTGGAGCGATGAGCAGCTAAAAAGTGATGATCTACCCAAAAAAGACATTATTAAGTTCATTCAGGACAATTCTGCTCATTCGGTATGTTTTATGTTTGATCCATGCATGCATTGGCGTGACAGCGCTCATTGAAATGCCATTGCTTACTTTTAGAGCGCACGCATGGTGATATCAGTTTACCTCCGCATTGGCGAACCGCTGCCAATTTAGCTTGATGCTAGCTTGTTAGCCTAGCATGTAGTAGTTCAGCATTGTATGCAGGTCTTTACTGGCTAGTACCATTAATTTTGCTTATCACCATGCCGTGTCAAGTTCATGTGGAAAAGGCTACATATTTAAAGTACTTTTTTTTCCCCAGCCTTTGGGCCTATGTGAAGTAGTTATTTTTGTGGCACCAGGCAGTAGGGAAGCTACGCAGGAAAGTGTTTCTTGCCAGATTTAGGAAATAATGCAGGTGTACAAAAGGACTTAAGTTGTAATTCATTCCGTTCGTGGCAAAATTACTACTCTTCTGACGTAGTGACTTCTCTCTTCCAGTTTCTTGCAGAGCACAAGCTGATGGGAAATATCAAGAATGTTGCAAAAACGGCAAAGAAGGAGCAACTGATTATTGCCTACAACGATTTGTTTGAGAGCAAGGTAGGGTGGACCACATGAATGGATTGAATGTGATACCTATTTTAAAAAGCGTATGACACATGAGGGCTCAAATTTAAATAATGAATTCCTGTAATGTAGTATTTTGTTTGTGCAACCACCAGAGGTTTTTAGGTTCAGAACCCATTGAAGATGTGACGGAGCATGTGAAAAATGTGAAGATCGACGACAAGCCCAAAGAAGTTGTGGAAGTCGTTGATGAGGTATGTACACAACCCATGTTTGAAAAACTTTTGATTAAGTGCTTTCCACTGAAATAGGCATCAGGATAAAAGTGCTGTATTTTGCTTTTAAGTTTAACGAGTCTACAATTTTCTGCTCCTCTACATTCAGAAGGTTGTCAGAAGAATTGTACTGTTAAAATGGTAACTTATGTATTACAATTCCCAGGGTCCTCCTAAGTTCTTCAAGTCTGTGCTGAAGAAAGGAGACAAGACTAACTTCCCTAAGAAGGGAGACAATGTGAGCTGTTGGTACACTGGCTCCCTGGAGGATGGCACAGTGTTCGACACCAACATCCCTGCAAGTATGTTTTCTTTCTCATACTTCTGTCACACTTACTCACTCGCATGCATTCTCTCTTACTATCTCTGTGACACACAATTTTATCCTCTTGGTCTCTCTCTCTCACACACACACACGTATTGTTACTCTGTCACATACTCACTTTACCTCAATTACCTTTCTCTCAGTAATACCAATAATGATTCTACTGTTTCCTCTGTCCTCCCCTCTGCAGCTGCCAGAAAGAAGAAACAGAGCAAGCCACTGAGCTTCAAAGTTGGCCTGGGCCGGGTCATCAGAGGGGTAAGACCATAGCGATACTGTATTATATTAATTACATATTGATTTATATGGCTAAAGGTGCTTTATTGCCTCAATTTAGCAATAATTATGATTTCCTTGTTCAATGGAATGCACCAGTTTTCATTGTCTTATGAGAAATGTTGTTTTCAGTGGGATGAAGGTATCCTAACGATGAGCAAAGGCGAGACAGCCAAACTGGAGATTGAGCCAGAATGGGCCTACGGGAAGAAGGGACTTCCTGATTCAAAGTATCCTTTACATTGGAACATCATGGGAACTATGGGCTAATATTGAATTAGGAGATGGCAGAAAGTGATGAGTCTTGGCTTTAATGGTATGTTTTTCACCACAAGTGATGGTCAGGAAGATTGCTAAGCCTCAGAGTAGTCGTCTCCTGTACAATGGCTCTATCATAGCCTTGTTGATACTCATTGAATTTGAGCCGGATTTATAACTATCTCTTAGTTTTAACACTTTTTATATGAATGTGTCTCTCATTAAATGGATATGCAACAGTTTCTGTGTGCATCCCTTAACTCTCCCACCACCAGAATCCCACCAAACGCAAAGCTGATCTTCGAGGTCGAGCTGGTGGCCGTCGATTAACGGCAGAAACCTACCCAGCATGCCCTTCTCTCCGTGGACGGGGAAAATGCGGTAGTCACTAGACGGCTATGCTCGAAAGGACAGAAGTGGTTGTAACGTTGTCAGAACGTTAAAGGAGTCTGATATATTGTCTTAATTTACGTTTAATGGGATGCTTTGGGAATTTGGCAATGAGGCCCTTTATCTACTTCCCCAGAGTCAGATGAACTTTTGGATACCATTTTTATGTCTGTCCAGTATGAAGGAAGTTAAAGGTAGTTTCTCGAGCCACTGCTAACTAGTGTTGGCACAATGACTGGAAGTCTATGGGTATCTACTAACATGCATTAACACTAGTTAGCATTTGCTCGTGAAACTAAATCTAACTTCCTTCATACTGGACACAGACATAAAAATGTTATCCACTAGTTCATCTGACTCATTGCCAAAATCCCAAAGTATCCTTTTTTAAGGTTAGTCTGGTTTTCTTTTTCTGCTTAAGCCAAGTCCTTTATCATTGTTTTGGCATATTGTCTGAAGCAGACCAGGGTTATTTGTGGTGAGTTGAGAAGGTGCCATGCTTCTGTCCTTTCCTGCATGGCCAGGTAGTGATGACCGGGCAACACTGTACAGATGGGGCATCCTTCCTGACAGTTACACACCGCAGAGGAAAGCCTTCCTGTTTTTTCTTGTTCTTTTGCATGTATAATGTACTTTTTAAAGATTAATAAACCAATTTTGGAGACTAAATTGACATGTGCAGCAGGTCTTGTTTATTTGGTGCCTTCAGCGAGTGTTTGAATGGTGAAGAAAACTGTGGGCAGTAGTGAATGGTTTGGAAGTAAGTTCCTGCTCTTTAAATCACGTGTTCTAATCAGAACCAGTCCTCCCTGCCATCTAAAAGGGCTTCCAAACACCCACCTGAAGGTGTAGTTTCATGCAGTAGTACACATTACACAATCGCAACTGGTCGGTCAGAACAGCACGAACTGGCCCAGTTCATGGAAATGTATACTCAACGGCAGACTTGTCTTAAGTTTGTCACTTTGGATAGCTGTCAGAACGATCATATGGTGCTGGTATTACCGGTTTCATTTTGACATCCCTTATACATTCATTTCCAAACTCCATTAGACTAGAACAGGCAAATTCGTACCTGGACCTTAAGTCAGTTCCACTGCTGATATTTTTTGCCCTCAAATCAAGGACTGATTTAGATTTGGTACACAAGTTGCGTTTACAGGCAGACCAATTCTGATTTTTTCCCCCCACCAATTGGTCTTTACCAATCGCTGATCTAAATTGGTCAAAATACCAATTAGTGAAATCTGAATTGGGCTGCCTGTCAACCCAGCCAAGGTGGGTGCCATTATCGGGTAGAACAGAAAACCAGCATAACTGCAGACCTCCAGGCTCAGATTTGAAAACCCCTGAACAAGAATGTACCAAATCTTTTGTCAGTGTGCTGTCCAAACAATACTTTCTAATAAGTCACTTATCAAACAACCCTGTCTCAAAATCATAAACACCCAAGACAGTCCAAGCCAAATCTTTATTCTGTACAGGAGGAAAACCTTTCAGTGCTTAAAAAAAAAATCCCAAGCGTTCTCCTGAGGGGGAGGGGGGGGTTCTTAGGAGTTGGCGTTGGGGCCCTTCTTCTTGCCGAAGGTGGGCACAACGTTGACGAAGCGCCTGTTGTACTGGATGCGACGCTTTGCACGGCCAGTCTTCTTCTTCTTCTTCTCCTGCTTGTCAACCTGTAGTGATAGAGGGGGACAGTGTCCATTACTATGCAGAAATATATTACATTTAGAAGACACTAATCCAAGAACTATAACGATTTTGAAACAATCAGACATTGTTACAACTGCCACAATACCAACTACCATAATGTCAAAGAGTATGTTTAAAAATATGCAGAAAGCATCTGCTGACCTTGGGTGTCTGTCCCCTCACTTTACCGGCACGGGCCAGGGAGCCATGGACCTTTCCTGGAGGGGAGAGAAAGCAAAGAGATTATCCTGAGTGAACATACAGCAATGGAACTGATGACAAAATACCTTCACAGAGCACCCATTAGTTAACTGCTGATCTGGAATGGAGCTGTACAGTGCATTCAGAAAGTATTCAGACCCGTTTACCTTTTCAACATTTTACCTTAACTCTAAAATTGATTCTCCCCCGATTGCTCAGTTTGGCCATGCGGCCAGCTCTAGGAAGAGTCTTGGGTGGTTCCAAACTTCCATTTTAGAATGATGGAGGCCACTGTGTTTTTGGGGACCTTCAATGCTGCAGACTCAACACAATCCTGTCTCGGAGCTCTACGGACAATTCTTTTGACCTCATGGCTTGGTTTTTGCTCTGACATGCACTGTCAACTGTTGGACGTTATATAGACAGGTGTATGCCTTTCCAAATCATGTCAAATCAATTGAATTTATCCCAGGTGGACTCCAATCAAGTTGTAGAAACATCTCAAGGATGATCAATGGAAAAAGGATGCACCTGAGCTCAATTTCGAGTCTCATAGCAAAGGGTCTGAATACTTATGTAAATAAGTTATGTTTATTTTTAATACATTTGCAAACATTTCTAAAAACCTGTTTCCGTTTTGTCATTATGGGGTATTGTGTGTAGATTGATGAGGAAAAATGTTATTTAATCAATTTTAGAATAAGGCTGCAACGTAACAAAATGTGGAAAAAGTCAACGGCCTGAATTACTTTCCAAGTGCACTGTATGTGATTGGATAAGTCAAAGCAAAGTTCCCACCCTATTTCTTTCTAAATCCAATCTTCTCATAGCTGTGATTATTCAATGGAGGAAGGATACATTTGCAAAATATTCAAATCAGGACACATTGAGATCATGTACAGGACTTAGTAAGCCATTGTGGTGAGCTGTATTTGGTGCTCCATCATTTTAGTCTTATCCAGAGCGATTTAAAGGAGTAATTAGGGTTAAGTGCCTTGCTCAAGGGCACATCTGCAGCTTTCACCTAGTTGGTTCAAGGATTTGAACCAGCAATCTTTCGGTTACTGGCCCAACGCTCTTAACCGCTAGGATATCTGCTGCCCGAGTACTGACCTCCCAGAAGTCGGCCAGCTACTTCCAGGGTGCAGTGCTCAGAGATGCCACAGTCCACCAGAGAGGAAGCATCCTCCAGTGGGGAGCCGGCCAGCAACAGCACCTGGTCCTCCACTAGGAGACCCTCCAGAGTCTGGACATGGACCTGAAACAACCCCACAGACACACTCAATGGTTTGCTCCAGACATGCATATATCCCAAAAATGTACATGCATGTGACAAATCCAGACAATGTGGAACACTGTAATTGTAGACTACAGACAGTACACCAATTACACCACAATCATTGATTTATCCAAGCGTGGCCTCTCACCTTTATGTCTCTGACGGTCTCCTGTCCTGTCACCTCAAGGGTGTGAGTGTTCTGTGCACGCAAGAAGAGCTGCATCTTGATGCTGTGGATAGGAAAATATGGTTAGTTAGCGTTTACATTTACGTCATTTAGCAGACGCTCTTATCCAGAGCGACTTACATTATTTATTTTTTTCATACCCCCTGTGGGAATCGAACCCACAACCCTGGCGTTGCAAACGCCATGCTCTATCAACTGAGCTACATCCCTGCCGGCCATTCCCTCCCCTACCCTGGACGACGCTGGGCCAATTGCGCGCCGCCCCATGGGTCTCCCGGTCACGGCCGGCTACGACAGAGCCTGGATTCGAACCAGGATCTCTAGTGGCACAGCTAGCACTGCGATGCAGTGCCTTAGACCACTGCGCCACTCAGGAGAGTATGAGAACAGTAAATGGGGTGTCATTGCTCCACATTACATTTGCATTTTAGTCATTTAGCAGACGCTCTTATCCAGAGCGACTTACAGGAGCAATTATTGTTAAGTGCCTTGCTCAAGGGCACATCGACAGATTGTTCACCTAGTCGGCTCGGGGATTAGAACCAGCGACCTTTCGGTTACTGACACTACGCTCTTAACCACTAAGATACCTGCCGCCCACATGACTTGAATCCGCCCTAAAAAGCAACAATGACTGAGCTAGGGATATAGACGCATTGACATACTGCCTGTCTAGGTGGCCCATCTGTTTAGATACCTAAAGCAATAGAAATTAGCGATTTGGGAACCAATAACTACCACTTCGCAGGAAAGACAGCGCAATGCTAGCTAGCATAGCAGTAAGGTTGAGGCATGTTTGAAGTTGACTGGCTAGCTAAAGTTGTATTTAGACATACCTAGCCAGGCAATAAGAGTTTGCAAATCATGAGGATTTATTATAGTTACGACCATAACTAGTAGCTAGGCATCCATGGTCGTTTGATTAGCTAGTCAGCCACACAGTCACGTAACTAAGCTAGCAAACATAATGCTAGCTAGCAAGCCACATGGGGCACGCGGTTCCAGAAACACTTTACTTTTTTGTGTGCTAAATATAAGGCAATCAAACAAACAATTATTCGTTTGGATGATGTACTTACGACCAATATTCCGAGCTGATATATTGTCTCTAATGGGTATAAAATGCAATATTTTATCTCAATTTGCACAGGCCTTACCTCGTTTGATGCTAGACGTTCAACACTAGGCAAAAAAGGACTTTCGGAGCGTCGGCAGTGCGCATGTGTCAACGTGTGACGTAGATAAGGCTGAGGGCACTACCGTAAAAAGCCTATGCGAAATGTATTCATGAATAAAAATTGATTTTTTTTTTTTCTTCTATGATTTTGTATACAAATAACATTGTACATTTTTGCCTGTCATACAGAAACATGTAATGATATGATACATCATGCTATGTTTCAACTGCTGGATCAAGACAGTAAGCCGAATGAGCTTTTTCGTGCTGGGCCACACCTTATATCTCTCCATGAGTACCTACATGTCAGTTTCAAATGGATCATGATTGGAGAGCATTCACATGTAACCAATCTATTCCCGTTTGCTTTCATGTAGCCGCAATGGCAGTGTTGTTAATATCGTACAAATATGGGTTAATTCAGGGGAGTACAAAACACATGAAATAGGATATTAATCTCTTTATTATGAAATAAAAAACAAAAATCTTCATTTCTGTTCTGTCCCAGGAAACAAAAACCTTAATCTTAAAAAGCTCACATTTTAGGAAAGCAGAGGAGAGGCTCAGGGAGGAGCATAGCTGTTACCACTACCTCCATACAAATCTATCATCTGTATCAAACAACTAGTTTCCCCACACAGACATATTGAAGAGGAACCAAATTATGCAGTGATCCAATCTAAAAATTAAAAACATCATTGTGTCTTTTCAACTGAGGAAAAAATTAAATTCATATGAAGTCTGCATCAACACACATGCGCAAGGAACACAAAAAGCAGCCAGTCGATGAATGATGGAGATGATGATGACAGTGAATGTGTCAATCTAATGGCCAATGGAAACAAATGACATCAAACAACAAAAGAGGAGGCGGGGCTAGCTGAGATGAGCAGTTGGACTGGGTAGAAAGGATGCCTCCTCTAATCTCTTCTTTCTGCAAGACCTTATGTTGGTGGAGGGGGGTAGTACTGGTTATACTGCTGGGAATACTGGTTGTACTGTCCCCAGGAGTTTTGGCCCCAGTTGTTGTACTGTTGCTGGAGAAGGAAAGCAAAAGAAAGACAGGGTTAGTTGGCATTCCTTCAAATACTTAGGAACATCTCATTCCAGCATTAGGGTCACCAGATGAAGAGAATAGAGTTCAACACTATCACACTCCCGTTTTTTACTCATTAAGAAACCAATTTTGCCATGAGGGATGGTATGACATTTGTCACCTATGCACAGTATGGTGAAAATACACTCAGTTGGCAGTTAATTAGGTACACCCATCTAGTACCAGGTCAGACCCCCCTTTGCCTCCAGAACAGCCTGAATTCTATAAGGTGTGGCGTTCAAATGTTGCTCAATTGGTATCAAGGGACCGAATGTGTGCCAGGAAAACATTCCCCACACCGTTTTTAGCTGATAGTAGTGGAACCCGGTGTGGCCATCTGTTTGTTGCAATAGCCCATCCATGACAAGGATCGACGAGTTGTGCGTTCTGAGATACCATTCTGCACACCACTCTTGTACTACTCCATTTGTGGGCCACCTGTTAGCTTGCACGATTCATGCAATTCTCCTTCAAACCTCTCATCAACGAGCTGTTTTCACCCACAGGACTGCTGCTGACTGGATGTTTTTCACAGGAAACCCTAGACACGGTCGTGTGTGAAAAGCCCGGGAGGCCGGACGTTTCTGAGATACTGGAAAAGGCGCACCTGGCACCGATGATCATACCACACTCAAAGTCGCTTAGATCACTCATTTTGCCCATTCTAACGTTTAATCGAACCGTAACAATGCCTTGATGCCCGTCTACCTGCTTTATATAGCAAGCCACGGCCACGTGACTCACTGTCTGTAGGACCGAACCATTTTTATGAACCTAATAAACTGGCCACTGAGTATATCGCTCAATGCAAAAATAAATTGGGTGTAAAACAGTATGTTTGAGTCTGCTCTTTATCATAGGACTCACCTGGTACCAGTTGTAGTTGTAGGCAGAGTTGTCTCCCTGCATCATGTGCCCTGAGCCTGAGTGCTCGTCGGTACGCTGTCTCTTCGACTCAGGCTCCTGCGAGCTGCAGGGACACAAAGGAACAGGTTAAATGTCAATCAAGAGCACCCAAATAACCAATTCAAGCATGGCGATTCACACCCTGCTATGAAGTGTCCTACCAATCCTATTGTTTTGTACTCCATGATGTCAATGTTAAGCTGAGGGAAGTGAATAAACTGAAATCTTACCCATTCTCTGCTTTCCTCTTTGTCGACTCGTGTTCTTTCAGAAGCTTCTGGTGTTCATCGTAAGCAGCCACTAACCTGTGAGGGTTAAAAATAATACATGGTTAAGATTAAAGATGCACTATGCAGAAATCCCTCTGCCATTTGCGAAAATTAGTGTCTGCTGGTTGTTTTTTTCCTTTCAATTAAGACCTAGACAACCAGGTGAGTGGAGTTCCTTACTCATCAGTGACCTTAATTCAGCAATCAAGTACAAGGGAGGAGCGAAAACCCGCAGACACTCTGCCGTCCGTGGACTGAGTTTGACACAGTGTAAAAAATCATTGCACCATCTAAACCGCTGTGAAATATATTTTCCATAACCCAAAATATTGTATTTTCAGCTGGTGTACTAAACCGAAAGTAACAAAAGCAAAAACAAAACTTAAGAACGCGAAGCATAGAAAGTGCGCACATAACAGATCTGTTGCTTCTTAGACTTGCTTTCAATGAGAATGACAGATCTATAAATCACATTGCTATGTGAATTTGGTCAGGTCGCCAAAAAAGTACATATTGTAGCTTTAAGTGGAAAGGGCACAGTCATTCACAGACTCTAATTTGAACACTGGTCATGAAACATTCATTAATTGTATTTGAGAGTAGGTACTGCAGGTGAACTGACTTGTTGATGTCGCTGCCAAAGTCCTGGAGGAACTCGACCTTGCGCTGAGAGAAGGTGAGACGAGAGTCGAGGGGCAGCAGGCTGCTCAGGGCACGGTCGAAGCAGGCCAAGATGTCAGCTTCGTTCTGCTGCACGTCCCCACTGTACTCCAGCTCCAGCAGGTTCAGATACAGTTTAGGACTCGCCTGGGAGAGACACATAAAATAGATTCATTATGAACTCAAATGGTTTCTCTGAACACATTTTCTCTGAATCAAACTCCATTCGGCACCATGCGTATCAATACCACATCTCAATATCAAGATCCTGAACCAAGTGACTCCATTTCTCATCTAGCTTTGTGATCTTACCTGGTCCTTGTCTATGGCGTCCAGCAGCACCTTGCGGGCCTTGATGAGGCTTCTCTGCACCTTCAGCAGCTGCCGGGCCAGCTTCACGGCGTAGAACGAGGTCTCGCTGGTGTTTTTCCCCGACGCAATCGCCTCTCTCAGCAGGGCCTCCGCTTCCTCCAGGTTGCCGTGGCGCCGCTCCAGGCTGACCCGCCGCAGACGCACCATAGCCAGGGCTGGCACCGCCTCCTCCAGAGCCTTCAGGATGCCGCGCGCCTCCGCTATGTTCCCTACAGGGAAACGAATGACACAGACAAACTCAGTTCCACTTCTGGGTTGAATGTTTCTTACTAGTTTTTGTAGACAGAGGCTACCAATGCTTTTGAACTTGTATTATGTGATTGGCTCAGCCTCCTTATTTGAATGTACCCGTTTGTAAATCACTTTGGACAAGAGCATCTGCTAAAGGTCTAATGACATGTGAGATGTGTGAATGTGATGTCAAGAGGGATCTAGAAACACCACTCACCCTGTTGCTCCTCGAATGCAGCCCACAGCAGGTGAATGTTGGGCTTCTTGGTCAGGTGGATGGTACACGCCTTCTTGTACACGTGTCTCACTCCATCAATGCTGTAGCCCTCTAGATATTTTGCATACTTCAGAGTGAAGCGAGAGAAAGAAAGGAGGGTTGGAGGAAGAGGGGGACAGGGTGGATGGAAAGGAGGAGGTGGAGAGAGAAGACGAGGAGGGGAAGGGGACGACAACATTTTAAACACCCATTTCCGGGTCACTCAACCAGTGAATTTCTTCATTGACAAGATCGTGTTTTTAGAAATTTTCTTTGTAAACCCATCAGCACCTTCATGGAACGAATAAGATAAGTTTCTGTAAGGTAGTGGGAGACGGAGAAGATGCAACGTAGTAGTTGGCAAATGCTGGAGTCAAATCTTGTGTGGCAAAGCTGGCCATCCCCTAATACAACAGATACAGTGAGTCACAGATCAACGATACACGCAAAGAAGAGATGTGCAGGACGATTTACTGTTGTCAGGAAGTGATGAAATCGTTGATAGGGGAAGTGCGGGGAGTTCATTATTTTTGGGGTGTCGGTGGGTCAAAGGTTAAGGGTTGGGTTACCTTTGTCCAGAAGTCCTCGTAGAGAGCACAGGCGATGAGGCAGCGTTCGAACAGAACGACCACACGTTCGGGAGTGCCGTTCTCGATCTCATAGTCCAGGTACTCCTTCCAATTGCTGAGCTGGGTCTTCTCCAGGGCTTTGACATGGAAGTAGGGACGTTTTATCTACAAAAATAACAATTTCAGAGTAATAATTAGGGACAGTTCACCCCAAAATCAACATTTGTCCGATATTTTCATATCTCGTATTCCATCTATTGTGTAGACCTCTGTAGGCCTCAATCCCAAATTAATGGGAAAGAGTGGCACCATCCAATTCCATCTCGACCCAGCTTGACAAAGCCCACTTTAGAGGTATGTAAACTTTGAAGTGAACTAGTTCCTTTAGCATAATGAAATATAAGTGGATGATATTCTGACCATAAAAAAAAAAATATAGGTGTCAGTACTCACCCCTTCCTCGAAGGCCCAGCGTTTGCTGACCTCCTGCTCGTTTTGGTTGAACACCTCCTGGCGCGACTCGATCACCTTGTGGCGCATGTTCTCAATCTCCGTCACCCTCTACACAGAACACAAGACACTCAATGTTAACCTTCTCACTCCACTTTAAAACAATCTCGTAACAATCTCATTCTCCACTGATGTGCAAACTGCATGTCCAGCTGCCAAGATTATTTACATCACCATGAGGCCGAGAGAGCCAGAGACTAGCAGGGGCCCTGCCTGTCGAAGGCGAGGGGGCCGACCCAGGGACCGAGGCCCGACCCGGGGCAGGGTATGTACCGTATGCACCCTGCCTGTAGGCCAGCCCTGGTGCTGGGGACTGGAAAGGACGAGGGGTCACTCGACTTGGCCAGCCGGCCCACGATCCAGCCATTCCTGACCCGCTTTAAGCCGAGTCCCTGACTGGATGATGCCAACTTGAATCCCCCACGTACTCATTGGCTTGGCTGCTGATGGAAAGACACCTCTTCAAACCTGCACAGATTTGTGTTTCTCTCCATGGATGATGATGATGATGAAGAGGCAAGGGCCTCTTTCCTAACCCTCTGGCATGTTGTGGCATATCAACCCCTCCTCGAGGGTGAGGAGGTGGAGTCGTACCTTTGCAGGATCTGGGAGGTCCTCTGTGCCTGCTGGGAGCTCCTCGGACTCGGTGGGTGTTGCTTCCTCTCCTTCCTCATTGGCTGCAGCTGCTACGTTGGCTTTGGCTAGCTCCACCCTCAGCTGGACAAACTCCTCCTCTGACAGGAAGTGTTTGGGGTTGTTGTTCTGCACATGCTCTTTGAACCTGCAGAGAGACATTCAGTACATCACTAGGAGAACCAAAAGTACTACCAGAGAAGTCAAAATCAAATCAAATTGTATTTGGCACATGCTTCGTAAACAACAGGCGTAGACTAACAGTGAAATGCTTACTTATGGGCCCTTACCAACAATATTTTTAACAAGGAATAAATACACAATGAGTAACGATAACTTGCCTATATACACGAGGCAGGGGTACGAGGTAATTGAAGTAGATATGTACATATAGGTAGAGGTAAAGTGACTAGGCAACAGGATAGATAATAGACAGTAGCAGCAGCGTATGTGATGAGTCAAAAGAGTTAGTGCAAAAAGGGTCAATGCAGATAGTCCGGGTAGCTATTTGGTTAACTATTTAGCAGTCTTATGGCTTGAGGGTAGAAGCGGTTCAGGGCCCTGCCGTGCGGTAACGGAGAGAACAGTCTATGACCTGGGTGGCTGGAGGACTACATTTTTTAAGACCTTCCTCTAACACCGCCTGGTAGAGGTCCTGGATGGCAGGGAACTCGGCCCCAGTGATGTACTGGGCCGTATGAACTACCCTCTGTTGCACCTTGCCATCGAAAGCCAAGCAGTTGCCATAGTGTGCCCGAAAGTGAGTTTCTGACAAGGGTAAAACTATTGCCAGTGTTCAGTATTTGATTTCTCTTAGCTACCCACTACCTGAGACGTTGACCATAACCATAGATATAGAATGAATAGAATGGACGTCCCCATTCAAGTCAATGATGGCATAATGGATGGACTGGCATCCATTTTGAGTGCACCCATGCCAGGAAGTAAAAGCAGGTGTACCCTTCAATCTAGGTAAGTACTATCTGGGATCCTTGGGACCTCCCTACCCTAAACATTCCCAAGGATCCAGGGTTTGCACAGACCCTTCAATATGTGCTGTGACTGATTGAGTCAACTCAACTGACATTAAAACAAATACATTCCATTGCATGAGCCACATCAGTTAGCATCATTCTACATTTCCATGACAATCCAGCATCAGTAGATAGAGCATTCCAAATGACCATGGAACTTATTGCATCATAACACCAGGCAGCCATTGCATGTGTACCTATGAGTTTACTAGTCAAATTGTCAGGGTTAGAGCTTCCAAGACCTTTCTTTTAATTATATAACCATAACCCTCATGGATGGTTTATCAAAACCCATTGTGAATGAGCTGACCCCTCGTACCTCTGGAGGTGCTGTGAGTAGAGCTGGGTGGGGATGCCCAGGATGCGGTCGTAGATGGCCGTGACATTGGCCAGTTTCTCCTGCTCCGTCTCCCAGTTGATGTAGGCCTCCCAAAGACGGTCAGAGCGGAAGTCTGTCCCTGCTGCCAACACAGCATGCTCATACGCACTGTGGGAAAGAACATAGACTACATAATTAACAATGCACTATGACCTGAAAAGTTCAGTAAGACACTTGTCGTTTTGGTTGTTGACGTGTCACAAGCTTCCCATGCACACAGCTTGAGGATATACAGGAGTGTGTGTGTTGAGGTGAGTGAGATGAGGTCTTTCACTTTTCAGTGACGACAGGGATCTTTACTCACCCTCTAATGCGTCCTGGTGTCTCTGGGTCTTCGTGGTCAGCGTTGTCCTTGATGAAGGACATGTAGTGAAGCCACAGATCCACACTGAGGGGGATGGCCTGCACACCCCGCCGGTACACCTGGGGACAGGACACAAAAGGACACTGGTGAATGAGACAAAGACCGTGTGAAATGCCAATGACTGCCACAGCAAGGACCCAAAAAGTAGAGCGAACAAAGCAGACTAACCCTGTCAAGTCCTTTCAGATCAGGACAGAGGACAGGTAGAGAAGAAGTCCATTTACACTATTGACTACATCAGCACATCCGCGAAAGAAGAGCTCTTTTCACGCTTACCTCCTCTGCCACCTGCGCATTGCCATGCTTCTTCTCAATGTCAGCAAACTTCTTCCAGTAGCCGTAGCAGTAGGGGTAGTGCAGGAAAAACGCATCAAACGCCTTCCTCACAACACCGAGATGATTCTGAGGAAAAAATAACATTTATAACTTGCTTCCTGCCAGACAATTTCCATCAATGTGACTTTAACCAAATCCAGCCTCATCATCAAACCACGGGCTCGCCAACGCTGTTTCGGGAGATCTACTCTCCTGTTGGATCCGTGCTATCTGGGATCCTTGGAACGTCCCTACCACATTGAAGTTGAAATGTAAAATGGTTAAAGTTAGGGTTTAGGGTAGGGACATCCCAAGGATGCTTGATAGCACTGACCACCCCAGCTAATCAACCAGCTAATTATTAGAATCAGGTGTGATGGATTAGGGTTGAAGCAAAAAAAAAACTACAGGACAGTAGCTCTCCAGGAACAGGGATGGAGCCCTGATCTAACCCTTTACTTAACCAGGTTTAGTCGCATTGAGATTTTAAATGTAGTTTTCAATACAGAAGACTATGAGAGCAGATTACACCTATTCACAATACAAGGGTTAACATAAAATTCCAGGACTTCTCTATGCTCACCTCTTGCTCCACATACTGCAGCAGGTAGACCCAACCATTGAAGTCTTCAGGGTTCTCCTCACACCCTTTAACCAGCTTCTCGTACTCAGCAGGGATGAGAGGCTCTGTGGGGACAGCTGGTTCATCAACAGCTTCCCCCTGTCCTGTCGTCTCTTTGGATTCTTCCAGCTCCATGTTAGCTGGGCTTCCATCTTCTGCAACCATTGGTGGCTGGGCTTGGGCTGGATCTTGTTCCTGATCTACAGGCTCTGACATCTCACCCTGTATCAGAGACTCTGTGGCTTCCGCTTGGTTGTTCTGTCCATCCTGGCTCTCTTCTTCTGACGACGCTTCCATTTGGTTCTGTTGTTCTACCTGGGGAGAACGAGACTGATCATCTGAATCCTCCTCTTGGAAGAGCTTGGCGCTCGCTAGCTGGAAGTGCTGCACCGCTTGTTCAACTGATCCCAGATCAGACTGCTGGTCCTGGTGCAGCTTGATTACCTCTGGTGACGACTGATCTGACTCTGAGTCAGTGTCGTGGATAACCGTGGTGAGGTTGTCAGGGGGAACCTGGTAGGAAGAAAAGTAGGCAAAGGGCAATGTTTGAAACATCAACATTATTTAAAGTTGAAAGCGTTGTGGTTTACTAGGACTGCAAGCAGAAAAAACATGACATTTGCTATGGGTTGTTGTTTAGAGTAATGATGACAGGGCATTGTCTTTATGATTCTGCTCAGGGGCATTTTTCGATTTCCTAGAGTAAACCCCTGTCTATTTTCACCACTGACCTGGTCCACGGTCCATTCAGCAGGGTGCGTGAGGACAGGCAGGTCTGGGAGGAAGCCCTCTCCATTGCCCTCCATGGCTGGGGAGTCCCCACTCTCAGAGCTGTCTGTGTCCAACATCCCCATCATGGGCTGGTCTGAGACATGCAGGTTTGAAGAGGGACACAGATTGCACGTCAATCAATATCACAACATCAAAACGGGTTGAGGGTAATAATTACCTTTGCCTTACAGGAAAATGGTGTAGAATCAGGAGTGGATCCAGTCAATATTGACATAACTGGGTTATTGTGGGTTCCTTGGGCATATCTACTAGTGCACGAAAACATCCTTATCAACCAAGGTTTGACATTCAATAAAATCTGTATGGCTCATCCAAATGTGTGCACATATACAGATATGGCTAGATAGGTAACGAAGTTAAATGTATTTATCATACGTGCTCCAGATATTAACCTAAAACATTCAAGTCAAGCTCAACTGAAGAATCCTCACTCTGACCGCATCTGTTGACTTGTTAAGAGTCGCACTGAGCTGTATAGCATGCGCACATCCTTGTTTAGCAACATTAGCATGCTAGCTAGCTGACTACAGGTGCGCGTGCTGGTAGATAGTAGCACATTATGTAGCAAGTTAAATAACATTTAATCCGGTCAATTAACTAGTTAGCCTATTTTTCTTGATAGTTAGCTAAAGCTTTTGGTCATCATTCAAGCACGGCACACAACTGTAAAGTTGGCTTAGGAACCTACTGCAGTCAGTAAGTATATAACTAACTACATCATTGGTCAGTGCACACTCAATGATGTTAGCTACACGTTAGCATAGTTAGGTAATTAAAACATATCTAACTAGCTACCCACTCTGTAGGTATCCTAAAAAATAAGACGTTAGTTACGGTTAACGTTACTGCGTGTTGTTGTAAAGACTGTAACTAGGGAAAGGCGACCGTTTCATTCTAATCCCAAATAATAGGCTGAAAGTCTTATCGTTACAAACAGCGAAGTTAGGGCTTCAACCTTGCCTCGGTTTGGGCCTAGTTAGCTAAAGTTAGCTGCTAGCTAGCCAGACCGCACACGTCCACCATCTTCACGTTACAGCAAGCGAACTAGAAAGTTCTCAAAATAAACATTTGATCAAAGAGGGTGTTTGAGACAACTTACCAGTATCTTCCATGAAATTTAGATGAGACAAATGTATATTTCAGACACTTTAAACGTATCTAACCAACAACATGTAGCCGCGTTTCTACTCTCATTCTCCAGCGACAACTTCGAGAAGGGCACAGAGACGCGCATGCGTACTGTAGTGTTATGGGGGCGGGTCCACTACAATGTAACCATTCTTGTAGTGAAGCTATATATCCAGTGTCTGTCTGTAATGAATCCAACAACCGTAGCCAATAGAGGCTGCAGTCACTGATTTATGCAAAAGGTGAAAGTTACCATTGCCATTCAGAATAAGAATAAGATGATAGGATAATAACATTCCTATAAATAGTTGACACTATTCCTATAAATAATGTAGAATAATTTAAATGTAATGTAAATGTAGCCAACATAGAAATCCAACAATAGCCTATGTGTGATTGAGAGCATTCTGTCTGGCTGCATCACCACCTGGTATGGCAACTGCACCGCCCTCAACCGAATGGCTCTCCAGAGGCCAACACATCAACGGGGGCACGCTGCCTGCCCTCCAGGACATTTACAGCACTCAGTGTCAAAGGAAGGCCAAGAAAAGCATCAAGGACTTCAGCACCCGAGTCACGGTCTGTTCCCTCTTCTACCATCTAGCAGACAGAGAAGGTACTGGTGCATCAAAGACAACACCGAAAGACTGAAAAACAGCTTCTATCTCCAGGCCATCAGACTGTTGAACAGCCATCACGCAATCTCCTGCAGTAACAGACAAAGACACACTCCCTCACACAAAACAGATACACAAGCTCACACACACCTCATACACAAGCAGACCCCTGTACTCACATATGCACTCACACACACGCATACGCCCATACTCACAAACAAACACGCACACACACACACACACACACACACAGACATGATAGAGACATTAAACACTGGACCGTTTCTTTATACTGTTTTTCACAAAGTAAACCACTGTAAATTTACAGCAGGGATGTTGTAATATGTTTTTACAATAAGAAAAAGAGTACTAAAGCAAAATGACAGTATTAAGCTGGCAACTCTGGTGCCAGTATAATGCTGTAAAATTACAGAGAAAAGTTTTACAGTGCATACTGTATTTTTTACATAGCTCATTCTAATATATTGCATTTTTGCTACACTGTTTATACACACCGCATATTTATATACTGGATTCTTGACATAGCTCACTGTAATATATCTACTGCTGTACACAGCATTCTTAGTATATATTTTTGGTGTATACTGTATACGCATAGATAGCATTTGGATTACTGATGCAGTGTTATTTCGGTTGTTTAGATTAGATTTTCATTTAGTCACATGAACAGGGTCACAGATGAAGTTGCAGTGAAATACTTACAGTTTTTCTCAATTGCTAAAACACTAAACCCTATTGTCTGAACCAAATGCTCAGTTGCCTGAACCCACTGATTGAATCAATCACTCTTTTGGCAAAACCATAAGCACTTTTCACCTGTTTAGACATAACTTGTCAACACATTTTCATTGTGATGCACCCGTGCTGCATAATGGTGAGCACAGGTGACAAAAGTCAAACACAATTAGAGCACAGGTGTCACCACTTGAACACAACAACTCAAAATTGATCACACTTGTGGCTAATGATGTGAGGGAACATATACAGTAAGCCAGTTCAGAGAGCACTGGTTTGTGAGGCCCTACAATGGATAGAAATCTGAGAGGAAGAGTTTGTGTGAGAGGAGGTCGAGGTGGTCGAGGTGGTCAGCGAAGACAAAGAACAGTAATATCTGATGAAATCAGAGCTACTGTGATTGACCATGTTCTTGTCCATGGTATGAGCATGAGGGAGGCTGGACAAAGGGTACAACCAAACATCAGTAGATTCACTGTGTCCACCATAATCCGAAGATTTAGAGAAGAGAACAGGTAATTACCTTTTTTTGACATTATAGTACAGTATGTAAATGTTGACAGCAATTACTGTATGACATACTATATACTGTACCACAGTATACTGTAAGTAAATATATTTCAGTACATCACTGTACCAATGTACTGTAGTATTGTAAGGGAGGGTTGGTCTAACTGTTTGTAGGCCTAGTATTCCATGTATATTTTTTGTAACTCCATGTTCTCTTTTTGTAGAATTGAAAGACTGCCACATGGGGGTGGGAGGACAGGTATGTTCTCCCCACACCAAGAGACCCTAATTGTTGATATGGTCCGTGAGAACAATGCCATTAAACTGAGCGAAATTCAGCAGAAGATCATTGAGGACCATTTAAATTTTGAGGGTATCAACAGTGTCAGCCTCTCTACTGTTGATCGTGTCCTCAAGTGCAACAGACTGCGCATGAAACAGCTATACAGAGTGCCCTTTGATCGCAACTCAGACAGAGTCAAAGAGCAAAGATTACAGTATGTACAGGTTGGCATATATCCAGACACATTCAATGTTGATTACTCTAAGTAGTGATTTACTGTAGTGGCCTAAATCACTTTTTCCGTATCACTTACAAAACTATATCTATTTCTACAGAGGGTTTTTCAACTGGATGCAATGGAAAGACCCAATCAATACATCTACATGGATGAAGCTGGGTTTAATCTCACCAAAAGGAGAAGGAGAGGCCGTAATGTGATTGGCCATCGGGCCATTGTTGGTGTTCCTGGGCAGCGTGGTGGCAATGTCACATTATGTGCTGCCATCAGCAATCATGGGGTTGTCCACCATCATGCCAACCTGGGGCCCTACAACACTCACCAGCTCCTCATTTTCCTCAATCACATGCGAGATGCTTTGTTAGGGCAGCAGGATGAGCATCCCATCTATGTTGTTGTTTGGGACAATGTGAGTTTTCACAGAGCCCTCCAGGTTAGAGAGTGGTACAATATGAACCAAGGTTTTATCAATCTTTGCCTTCCACCGTACTCCCCTTTCCTAAACCCCATTGAGGAATTATTCTCCTCATGGCGGTGGAAGTTATATGAACGCCAACCTTACACCAGGGTAAATCTCCTGCAAGCCATGGGACTTGCCTGTGGTGACATAGGTGTGGAGGCATGCCAAGCCTGGATACGGCATGCCAGGGGTTTTTTCCCCCGTTGCCTGGCCAGACAAAATGTGGCCTGTGATGTGGATGAAGTCCTGTGGCCTGACCCAGTACGGAGACATGATGCTGTGGCTGAGTAATGCACTTATTTGTATATTTTTGTACTTTATTTTTACATGGGCTTACTGTACACAAGTGGCAAACGCATAAGATTTCTGTTTGTTTGTACAAGTGCTAAATGCACAGGTTTTTTTTGTTTTGCAACATGCATTTAGGCTACAGTGAACAATAAACATTTATTTCTCCAGCTTCATGTCCTGAGCATTGTGTTTTCTATTTTTCTACATAGTGTTTAGTGACTGTTCAGTAGTGTTTTTTATTTTGATTGACTCGGGGCACGATTTGACAACATAGTTCAGTTTTGAGCACAGATTGAACTGTTTTGAGGTGAAAGTTTGGTTTTGCAAGAAGAGTCTGAGGTTTTGTGAATGTAGCTTGAAAATTGGGTTTTGTGTTCACAGTTAAGAGAAAAGGAGAGCAGCTTTCAAGAAAAGTCTTAGCAATCGAGAAAAACTGTAAGCTCCACAGGTCTGTGGACGACACTGTCAACATTGGCCTACACTACATCTTCAAACAACTCGATAACCCAAAGACATATGCAAGGATATTGTTTGTGGACTTTAGCTGTAGAGAGGGTCATTGGCTGCCACCTTCCCTACATCGAGGTCCTGCACGACTCCAGGACAAGGAAGCGAGCAGGAAAGATCACTGCTGACCCATCCCACACCAGTCACCCCCTCCTCCAAAAATTCACCTCTGGCATGCGGTTCAGGTCACTCATGACCAAAACCTCCCGCCACCTGAAAAGTTTCTTCCCCTGGGTTGTTGCCCTCACCAACCGACTATTTGACCCATAGAGACTAAAGGACTCTGCACTCTATGCTGCACACCGCATCAAGCCATCTCTGAACTGTACACAAAATAACTGCACTATACTGCAATTGCACTCTGTTAATCTCTCTGCATTTAGATATATTCATACCACAGGAGGTTGGTGGCAGCCTCCACTGATTCATACTGATACTGTACATTTGTACATCCACTGCATATCAACCGTATACCCACTGTATATTTGTATATTTGCTCACTCTACCTAGTTATATATAATATACACTACCGTTCAAAAGTTTGGGGTCACTTAGAAATGTCCTTGTTTTCGCAAGAAAAGCAAATTTTTTTTGTCCATTAAAATTACATTAAATTGATCAGAAATACAGTGGAGACATTGTTAATGTTGTAAATGGCTATTGTAGCTGGAAATGGCTGATTTTTAATGGAATATCTACATAGGCGTACAGATGCCCATTATCAGCAACCATCAGTCCTGTGTTCCAATGGCACGTTGTGTTTGCTAATCCAAGTTTATCATTTTAAAAGGCTAATTGATCATTAGAAAACCCTTTTGCAATTATGTTAGCACAGCTGAAAACTGTTGTGCTGATTAAAGAAGAAATAAAACTGGCCTTCTTGAGACTAGTTGAGTATCTGGAGCATCAGAAACAGACGCCTCACAGGTCCTCAACTGACAGCTTCATTAAATAGTACCCGCAAAACACCAGTCTCAACGTCAACAGTGAAGAGGCGACTCCGGGATGCTGCCCTTCTAGACGGAGTTGCAAAGAAAAAGCCATATCTCAGACTGGCCAATAAAAAGAAAATATTAAGATGGGCAAAAGAACACAGACACTGGACTTTCTCTTTGCAACTCTGCCTAGGTCAGCATCCCGGAGTCGCCTCTTCACTGTTGACGTTGAGACTGGTGTTTTGTGGGTACTATTTAATGAAGCTGCCAGTTGAGGACCTGTGAGGCGTCTGTTTCTGATGCTCCAGATACTCAACTAGTCTCAAGAAGGCCCGTTTTATTTCTTCTTTAATCAGCACAACAGTTTTCAGCTGTGCTAACATAATTGCAAAAGGGTTTTCTAATGATCAATTAGCCTTTTAAAATGATAAACTTGGATTAGCAAACACAACGTGCCATTGGAACACAGGACTGATGGTTGCTGAAAATGGGC